CCCTGCCCCAGCCCTGATCCCCCCAAACCCAGAGCCCCTCCTGCACCCCAAACCCCTCATCCCTGACCTCACCCCAGAGCCTGCACACAGAGCCCTGACCCCCTCCTGCACCCCAACCCCCTGCCCCAGCCCAGAGCCCCTTCCCACACCCTGAACCCCTCATTCCCAGCCTCACCCCATAGCCCTCACCCCCTCTGCCCCAGCCCTAAGCCCCTCCCACACCCCAAACCCCTCATCTCCAGCTCCGTTAGGTCACGGGCATCAACAATTTTCTTTAACTGGGTCCCCAGAAAAAAAGTTTGAAAACCACTGTCATAGTGCACACATTACTCCACTGTGTACACAATCCTTAAGAGTGAAATCTTGGCCCTACTGAAGTCAGTGGGAGTGTATGTACACCAACTGGGAATCACATCCTAGCTCAGAGGTGGGCAAACTATGGCCCGCGGGCCACGTGCGGCCCGCAGGACCGTTCTCCCCGGCCCCTGAGCTCCTGGCCCGGCCCCTCCACTACTGTTCCCCCTCCCCCACAGCCTCAGCTCACTGTGCCACTGGCCCAATGCTCTGGGTGGCGGGGCAGCGAGCTCCTGGGGCAGCGCAGCTGTAGAGCCCAGCCTGACCCGGTGCTCTGTGCTGCGTGGTGCATGGCTGGCTCCAGCCAGGCGGCGCTGCTGCCTGTCATAGTGCAGCCGTGCCGCCAGCCACTGGTGCTCCAGACAGTGCGGTAAGGGGGCAGGGAGCGGAGGTGGGGGGTTGGATATAGGGCAGGGGAGTTCGGGGGGTGGTCAGGGGGCGGGGGAGGTCAGAGGGCGGGGAACAGGGGGGTTGAATGGGGGCAGGGGATCCGGGGGCGGTCAGGGAGAAGGGGTGGTTGGATGGGGCAGAGGTCCCAGGGTGAGCAGTCAGGAGGGAGAGGAGGGGTTGGATGGGGCAGTGGGGGGCAGTTAGGGGCAGGGGGTCCGGGGCAGGTCAGGGAGAAGGGGTGGTTGGATGGGGCAGGGGTCCCGAGTGGGGGGGCAGTCAGGAAGGAGAAGGGGGTTGGATGGGGCGGCGGGGGGCAGTTGGGGGTGGGGGGTCCGGGGGTGGTCAGGGGATAGGGAGGGGGGGGGTTGGTGGGGGGAGGGGCCCGGGGGGCCGTGAGGGGTGAGAAGCAGGGGGGGGGGGGGGGGGGGGGGGGCTGGGCCATGCCTGCCTGTTTGGGGAGGCACAGCCTCCCCTAACCGGCCCTCCATACTATTTCTGAAACCCGATGTGGCCCTCAGGCCAAAAAGTTTGCCCACCCCTACCCTAGCTCATAGCGTAGACATAACCTGAGCGTACATGGAGAACAATTGATCACCATCCTCTTTATAACAGCCCTTAACGTATCTGAACACTTTTCAGGTGCCCCCTCCATCTTCTTTTTCTTAAGACTAAACATGTCCATTTTTTTTTAACCTTTCCTCAAAGGTCAGGTTTTCTAAACCTTTTATCATTTTTGTTGCTTTTATCTGGACTATCTCTAATCTGTCCATATCTTCCTTAGAGTGAGGCACCCAGAATCCAGCTAGTACTCCAGCTGAGGCATCACCGGTGCTGATTAGAGCACGACAGTTACCCTCCATGTCTTAAATAGGATACTTCTGCTAATATACCCCAGCATATTAGCCTTTTTAACAACTGCATCACATTGTTGGCTCATATTAAGTTTGTGATCCATTAGAACCCCCAGATCCTTTCCAGCAGTACAACTGCCTAGCTAATTATCCCACATTTTGTAGTGGTATACTTGTCTTTATTGAATTTCATCTTGATGACTTCAGACCAATTCTCCAATTTGTGAAGGTTGTTTTGAATTCAAATCCTGTCCTCCAAAGTGCTTGCAATCACATCCATCTCGGTATCCTCCACACGTTTTATAAGCATACTCTCTACTCCATTATTCAAGTCATTAATGAAAATATTGAATAGTACCAGACACAAGACAGGACCCTACAGGACCCCAACTAGATACGTCCCCTCTCTCCTTGCCCCAAGTTTGATAGCAAATCATTGAAAACTATTCCGAGTATGGTCTTTCAACCAGTTGTGCACCCATTTTATAGTAATTTCATTAGACCACATTTCCCTAGTTGGATTATGAGAATGTGATGTGAGACTGTATCAAAAGCTGTATTAAAATCAAGATATATCAGGTCTACAGCTTCTCCCCATCCACTAGGCCAGTAGTCAAAGAAGGAAATGGTTTGTCATGATGTGTTCATACGAAATCCATGTTGGCTATTACTTTTAACCCTATTATCTCCCTGTGATGGCTTGGATCACAAAAACCCCCTTGGGGCTGCCAACTTATGTGCCAAGACTACTTCTGCCTCTGCTTTCCCTGCCAGCTTGGGACTCCAGCACCCTGTATTGTTGAGCCAGACACGCCAGTCTGCTCCAACACAGACCCAGGGTCTGAACCACGTGCCCCAAACCACGTGCAGACTTAACTGAAAGCAACTTAAGAAATGTTCCTGTCTTTAACACTCAGATGCCCAACTCCCAGTGGGGTCCAAACCCCAAATAAATCTGTTTTACCCTGTATAAAACTTATACAGGGTAAACTCACTGATAGAGAGGTATGCACAGCTGTTTGCCCCCCCCCCAGGTATTAATACATACTCTGGGTTAATTAAGAAGTAAAAATGATTTTATTAAATACAGAAAGTAGGATTTAAGTGCTTCCAAGTAATACAGACAGAACAAAGTAAATTACCAACTAAAATAAAATAGAACACGCAAGTCTAAGCCTAGTACAGTAATAAAACTGAATACAGATAAAATCTCACCCTCAGAGATGTTTCAATAAGCTTCTATCACAGACTGGATGCCTTCCTAGTCTGGGCATAATTCTTTCCCCTGGTACAGCCCTTGTTCCAGCTCAGGTGGGAGCTAGGGGATTTCTCATGATGGCTGCCACCTTTGTTCTGTTCCATCCACTTATATATCTTTTGCATAAGGTGGGAATCCTTTGTCTCTCTGGTTTCCCTACCCCTCCTTCTCAATGGAAAAACACCAGGTTAAAGATGGATTCCAGTTCAGGTGACATGATCACATGTCACTGTAAGACCCCAAGCCTTCATTCCTCCCAGCCTGACTCACAGGAAGGCCTGCCTGCAAACAGAGCCATCCACAGTCAATTGTCCTGGTTGATGGGCGCCATCAAGATTCCAAACCACCATTAATGACCCACACTTTGAATAATTACAATATGCCCTCAGAATTATATTTCATATTTCTAGTTTCAGATTCAAGAGTGATACATTTATACAAATAGGATGACCACACTCAGATTATAAACTTTGTAATGATACCTGACAAGAGACCTTTTGCATGAAGCATATTTTAGTTACATTATATTCACACTCATCAGCATACTTTCATAAAATCATATAGAGTGCAACGTCACACCCCTAGGTGCTTACAAACTGATTAACAGTTTGTTCCAGTAACTTTTCAGATATCAAAGTTAGGCTGACAGATCTATAATTCCTCAGGTCCTCTTCTCATTTTTAAAGATAGATACTATATTTGCCCTTTTCCAGTCCTCTGACCCCTCACCTGTCCTCCATGAGTAATCAAAGAAACTTCTTAACACTTCAGAGATTGTTTCAGCTACTTCCTTAAATACCCTATGGAGCATTTCATCAGGCCCTGCCAACTTGAACACATCTAACTTATGTAAATAATAAACATGTTCTTTCCCTATTTTGGCTTGTGTTTCTTCCCCATTGTTATTAATATTGTGTTACGCGTCTGATCACAATTTTTGTTAGTGAAGATAAACCAAATAGGCATTAAACACCTCAGCCTTCTTGATGTCATCCAGTATTTCCTCTCCATCACTGTAAATAGGTCCTCTATGTTTTCCTTTGTCTTTCTCTTGCTCCTTATGTATTTACAGAACCTCTTCTTACTGCCTTTAATATCCTTTGCTAGATGTAACTCATTTTGTGCTATAGCTTTCTGATTTTGTCCCCATGTTTGTACTATTATTTTGTACTCATCCTTAGCAACTTGTCCATGTTTGCACTGTTTGTAGGATTTCTTCCCTAAAGAGCTCCTGATGCAGCCATATTGACCTCTTACTAGTCTTCCTATATCCTCCACAATCGTGATAGTTTGCTGTTGGGCCTTCAATATTGTCTCCTTGAGAAACTGTACTGAACTGCTTTCTCCCTTAGATTTCCTTTCCATAGGACCTTACTTATCAGTTCCAAGTTTGTTAAAGCCTGCTTTTTGGAAATCCACTGACCTTATTCCGATTTTCTAACTCCTTCCTTTTCTTAGAATCATGAAGTCTATCATTTCATGATCACTTTCAAATTGCCTTCCACCTTCAGATTTGCAACCAATTCCTCCCTGTTAATTAGAATCAAGTCTAAAATGTCTGTCTCCCTGGTTACTTCCTCCACTTTCTGAAACAAGTAGTGGCCCCCAATACATTCCAAGAACTTATTGGACATTGTATCCATTAACTACCCAGACAAAGTCCTCCATGACTACCAGGTCTTGTGTTTTGGGTATTTATTTGTTCTTGAAATATCTTATCCACCTCTTCTTCCTGATATGGTGGTCTATAGTAGACCCCTTCTTTTTCCACTTTTATTTTCAACTTTCAACATATCTCGACTTTCAGCTGGTCTGCTTCTCACCACCTTTTGGACTTCAGACCAAGTGTATATATTCTTGATTTATAATACAATACCTCCTCCCTTTCCCCCCTGCCTGTCCTTTCTGAAGAAGCTATACCCCTCTACCAATTTTCCAGTCATGAGTTTTATCCCACCAAGTCTCTTTGATGCCTGCTGAGTCACAATTTAGTTTATGGATTAATACTTCCAGTTCTTCCTGTTTATTCCCCATACTCCTTGCATTTGTGAATACACATCTAAGATGTTGAGCAGATTCCTCCATTGTTATCTTATCTTTTGCCCCTATGACCCTGTTGTACTTTTCCATCCCCCACCCCCTTTAGCTTTCGGTTAAGGTCATTTTTTTACACCTACCTGTGGACTTTTTGTCACCTGATCCCTTTGAACCTAGTTTAAACCTCTGCTCACTAGGTTGGTGAATTGGTGCACAACGATGCTCTCCCCTTCTTGGTTAGGTGGACATCATCTCTTCCCAGCAGTCCTCCTTCCTGGAACAGCATTTTATGGTTGAGGAAACGAAAGCCCTCCTGTCAACACCATCTGTGGAGCCATGCATTCATCTCCAGGAAGCACACGCCAATGCCTGGGCCCTTATCCTCACTTCACGAGTTCCATAGATATAGTGTTATGTAAGAATATAGGAACTGACCTAATGATCTGTCCAGCCCAGTATCCCTGATCCTTGATGACAGCTGGTACCCGATGCTTCAGAGAAAGGTGCAAGAAACTTCAGAGCAGTCAATTATGGAGTAATTTGCCCATACAGAATAAGGGAAGAGTATATGTGGTTAGTGGTTTCCTTAATTTAATTTTAGTCTGTTAATTGATATAGGCTAATGCACGCACAAATGTCAACTGGCTGTAGTTAGCATCTTTCTCTACTATCTCATCAGAGACACCAAAGATTGAATGGACATGGAATATCCTGTCATCCCTAGAGGTGGTTCCTCCAACAAAAAATTTAAGCACATAGACATTGACAAGGTAGTGAAGATACTTGCCTGGTTGCTGTCTATGCTATATCTGTATTGTGAAAAAGAGGAATGGAATGACAAACTAGGGATTACAACACCTCTGATGAAAGACAAACTTACCTGGCTAACAGGATAGTCCCATTTAAAAAGGTGGAGTGCAAGAGATGGAGGTATGAAGAGTATGCTCCTCTTGGAATGCCTAAGAGTTTTGTTTATGGTGATGAGAAATTACAATGAAGAACAACTAAAAATATTTGATAGAGATAGAGGAGATGTTTTTGTAAAAACAGAAGTCCAACATTATGAGTTTTAAAAAAATAATGTAAAGCAGCTGAAATAAATCTGTTTTAAATGTGCTAATCGAAGCATAAAATGTTTGTATTACAGATTGCACAAAAATAAGGCACTAAACCACGAAATGGAAATTGTACTTTACAAGATTTTAACAGTATTCAATTTATACTAAACAATGATTACCAGTGTACACTGAAAGATAAATTAATGAATCAAACATTACAGATTTCATCACAAAGTTTTTTACTTCTCAGTAATTTCTTTTAAAACAATAAATAGTTAATTGAGCATTAACATTCACATTTGTATTTAAACATTACAAATGTACAAAGATTTTGGGCATCAGACACTTTGAACTTACTTTCACAAACACTCAATGAGCCCACATCTTCAAATTTTTCATTAGAAAGAAACAATCATGTACTACACTGTTTGAAAACATAAGAAACAAGGCACAGAAAAGCAAATGCCAAAAAAAAAAAAAAAACCCTCACAAAACTTTCAGAGAATATTTGGAATGTCCACACAATTCTGTGTAATGAACTATAACAATCAAATCAAAAAGGCAAATTATAAAGTATCTCAAAGGAAGTTCACTATAATATTACATAATGTAACTAACTGGGTCTGATCCTGTGAGGTACTATTACTCTTATGCAAGGTGTTGAACATCCTCAACTGAGGGCAGTTAGCATCTTGTAGGCTCGAAACCTTTATTTGTTGAAGTAACATTAAAGGAAAAACAGCACAAGTGTTTCATTTCACCTTATAAAACTGTACTCTTCAAATTAGTGCAAATCCCCAATTTAAATGCAATTTAAAACAATTATCATAGATCTTTTTTAACCTTCATGTAATGGAATGCTTAGGAGTTTCCAAAGCACTCATATTAACTTCTGCTGGGTCACTTTTAATCACATTTCAGCTCTCTCTCACTTAATTTATTTTAAAAGGAAAAACTCACAAAGAGTAGTTACAATCAAGTATAAATAATATGAGATGGAATTAAGTAAAGAAATATACTGCATGTTACATAAAACCTTTAAAAATCCAGAGTATACTGGATGCTGCATAACTCCTGCAGAAAGTATTAAGTAGCAGATTTCTCTTAGCATAATAAAAAGACAATATTTAAAATAAGGCTTTGGTTAAATAAAAAGGTTGCTAAACCTCAGTTATGGTGAAAAAAGTGCAATATAGTCACCAAATATATACCTTCATCTCCAAGGCAAGAAATATGCCTGCCATTTACAACTGATTTGCACTGGTTTGTCTCTCTGCACTAAAAAATAATATCCTACATAGCTGCAGCAAAACACCTTCAGTATAGGCAAATTAAATATCTAGGGCCTGATCCTGCAACATCTTATGCCCATTGAAATCAGTGGGACTACTTCTGTGAATAAAGTCACTCTCATGCATGTTTGCAAGATCAGGATCCTTAATCTGTAACATTCAATTATTTTAGAATAGACTCACTCAGTTTCTTAGCACTTTCTAATAAGAAAGTATTTGTTGGCAATCAACTTACCGCAGTACAATAGCTTACAAATACAGTTCTTGTATGTATATGGTAACATAAGGTAATTTTTTTTAAAAGTGCTTATTATTGGTCCATTCAAAATTGTTTAGCTGTATGCTATCTTCAGACCAAACACTTAGCTCTGAAGAAAACACACAGTACCTCTGTTTACTGGTAACGTATTCATTCACTTGAGAAAAAAGTAGTGAGTCTATGGAAGAGACTAGTATCTTCATATACAAAATAATTAGAGTTTTACAGTCACAACACATGCTCCAGCTCTTCCTAGGCACAATGGTGCAACCTATAACAAAAAACAAAAAATGACTGATGTGCTATGGTTATAAAATAAATATAATCAACTTTATTAAAGAAAAACAGATTTTCAAAACGGATAATGTACCACAGTAGTTAAGGTTGTAATGTCATATTTGTAGGTGCTTTGTAACCTGACTTTAAAAATTAACAAAATGGGCTGAAGTTTGGCATAAAAATGCTCAGAGAAACAGCAATATTTTCTTCTGCAGGACCAGATTCTGCTCTCTCTAAAGTCAATGGCACACCCCATAAACAGTACTCTTCACAGTAAAATAATATTTATTTGAATATTTTAAAAATCAAGTATTTTTATTATATTTTAAAATAGGATTATCATCTAACACTGTACTTCTAAGTATAACAGTACTTGGTACTGGGCCTTCATTTCATTGCTATGCAACAATCCTAGTCCTGTAGATGACATTGAACAGTCTGCAGCATTGCTCATAGATTTGGTAGAACCAAGAAAAGTTGTTGCACACTGCAAATAGCTTGTATTGTGCAGGTCTTTTAATGCAGCTTTAACACAGCTCCTGATCACCTGAAAAATGCTTTCAAGCACTTTTGGAGGTATGTGCATGAAGGAGAAAGTAGGGCAGCCTTGAAGTCTATTCACCAGATGCTCATATACCATGATGATGATCATGGTACAAGTACAGTATCTAGATAAAACAAATGCCAAGACGAGCTTATCAGACAAATCAAATCAGCCTTGATAAGAGGGACCTGATAATAGGCAGCAAGAGAACTAAATGGGGCCCTATAAAAATTTTTTTTAAATCTTATTTTGTTTTAAAAAGAAAACTAGAGGACAAGTTCTTGTACTTATTTTCATCTATTTTTTTAAAATATCTTTGTTTCATCATACTGCACTATCCATGCTGAATAATCAGATAATCTTCTTGACACTGGCCAAGATTTTCAAACATAGGAAAATGGGTCCTGATGGGTGCTCAGCACTTCTGAAAATCAGATAATGGATTTAGGCACCTAACTTTAAACTTTTATTTTTGAAAATTGTGGTCTTTGTCTCTGTCCTTCTGCTATACCCCTACTGTCTTGTAATCTCCTCATTGCAGGTAAGCTCCTTGAGGCACATACTTAATCTTTTTTCTTTCTTTACTGGGAGGCACCAAGCACACTTTTGGCATCACTAAAATAAATAATACCATATACCATATATACTCGTTTATAAGCCGAATTTTTTTAGTAAAAAAGGGAAGCACCAGAGAAGGGGGTCGGCTTATGAACAGGTATAGAGAGGGAGAGCTGGGACACAGTCCCTCCCCCCCAACAGAGGGAGCAAGGAGAGGCAGCACAGCCAACAGAGACAGAAGGGAAGAGGCAGGGCCAGAGTCTCTCCGCTTCTACCCACGCTGCTCTCCCCCCAGCCTCCAAAGCAGCTGCAGCTCCGGGGCTGGCAGGCTGTAGCTGTGCCGCTTGGCCTCGCCCCCCAGGGCAGGCTGTGGCCACGCCGCCCAGCCCAGCCCGCTGGAACATGCTATGGCCGTGCCACCTGGTCTGGCCCGCCGGAACAGGCTGCGGCCGCGCTGCCCAGCCTGCCGGAGCAGCTCCAGCCAGGCCAGAGACATTCTCCCTTGGCCCTCCCCAGATAAGGTGGGAAGGGATGCGATGGGGAGAGTGTAGGGGTCCCGGGCTAGGGGTGGGGTCATGTGGGGGGTGGTCACAGGAGTTACTCCCCTGATTCCCAGCTTCTCCCCCCAAAAAATTTCCCCACCAGTTGCTGTCCTGGCCCGTCAGGGTAAGCAGCTGGAGCGCCAGGACACTTTGTTTACTTAGGTTTACCTCCGTGCCTCTGGACACTCGAGGTAAACAAACCATCTCAAGCCAGCGGCTTATTCTGATGGCCCGGGAGCCAAAGTTTGCCGACCCCTGAATTCAATTTTTACTTATCCATCTTTGGGGGGGGTGGGGGTTCAGCTTATAAACTAACTGGCTTATGATCGAGTATATACACGGTAATTTAATTAGAAACTGTACCTGTGTCCACTCATTCGTTTGGGGATCATAAGACTCCACTGTGTTAAGATAGGTTTGCCCATCATATCCTCCAACAGCATACAACTTGTCACCAAGGAGACACACTCCCACTGCATCTCTGCTAATGCTCATGGAGGCCACTGCAGTCCACACATCTGTTTTTGGATCATACCTGAAAGATAATTTTTGTAAAAGTCTAATATTGTTGCCTAAAATTCCATTAAAAATACTGAAATTGACTCTCAAGGTACTAGACTATCTAGTGGAATCAGCAAAGGAGTATTCTCTCTTCGGGTGTGAAATTAAAAGGATTTCTTACTTGTTTAAACCTTTCCCTTAAAAGCAGCATTTGGTTAATCATTTCACTGAGGCTGTACAGTCACATACAGAAACAGACCTTTTATGACCAAACATGCTCAGCTCCAGAATCAAGTTCTGCTGCCATACTCTGTTAGAGTTTAGTGCTCTCTTCATCTTACAGACAGACAACTATTAAATCCCAAATTACATACAGAGTAATACAGTGTTGCTGAGGAGATTCATTGGACAAGTAAGTTGATCATTGCTTTTTGCAATAACTATAATTTATAGAAAAAACATCAACCCGGTGTACATGGCAAAATTCTTCTGCAGCAATTTACAGAACTTTTCTCGCCATAAACTGGTGTCATTAGGATCAAACACAATAGTAGACAGGTGGTATACTGAAAACACCTCAGTTAAATTTGAACCTAGAGCACATCAACAGTCTTTAAAAGATAGGTCAGGAATTAAATTGGAGAGTCCAAACTCGTCTTTTAAAAACTTGTTTTTGACTCAATCTGTAAATGTCTCCTTTTCAGATTAGCCAGCATATTTATAAGCAGGGCCAGCTCCAGTTTTTTTGCAGCCCCGAGCGGCGAAGAAAAAAAAAAGATAAAGCCGCGATCAGCGGCACTTCGGCGGCAGCTCTATTGCGCTGCTTCATTCTTTGGTGGCAATTCAGCGGCTGGTCCTTCCCTCCGAGAGGGACTGAGGGACCCAGGGCTGGCGCTTCCATTTAGGCGACCTAGGCGGTTGCCTAGGGCGCCAGGATTGGGGGGGAGGCGGCATTTTGCTGCCCTTGGCGGCAATTCGGCGGCGGGGGATCCTTCTGCGCTCCGGGTCTTCGGCGGCAATTCTGCGGCGGGTCCTTCACTCGCTCCGGGACCCGCCGCCGAAGTGCCCCGAAGACCGGGAGCGCGGAAGGACCCCCCCCGCCGCAGAATTGCCGCTGACGACCGGGAGCGCGGAAGGACCCCCGCCTATGGCGCCAAAAACCCTGGCGCCGCTCCTGGAGGGACCGCCGCTGAATTGCCACTGAAGACCCGGACGTGCCGCCCCTTTCCATTGATCGCCCCAAGCACCTGCTTCCTGTGCTGGTGCCTGGAACCAGCCCTGGTTACAAGACACAATGCCAAGAAAACAAACAAATTTCTTGAGGGAATCACATTAATAAAATGCTTTTAAGGCACAGGACTATCAAAAGAAAATATATCCATCGCTAAGAAGGTATCCAAAACCACTAAAGTGAGTTTGGGGGATGAAATTGGTGTTGATTTCTTTGCATGAGATGCAAAGATGTAATGAGTTTTGAGTGTCTTTCTGGCACCTTTTTCTTTAGTGCAGCAGGTCTCTCTTGGAAACACACATTTTATCCATGTAGAGTCATAGTGTGGAAGCATTGCCTGAAACTTATGCAGCAGGCAAAGTGCATTATGTACTGAAAGATAGTGAATTATGAACTATACAAAGTGTTTGTCAATTTGATTTATATAATTGATTTATATACTGTGACAAAGTTCCTCCTCTATCTTGGTGGGTCCTGCGCTTATTGGCGGATTTTCTTGCCTCAGAGATTCACCATGTGGGTTGGGGAACAGCCCAGAGACCTTCCCCTCTGGAAGAACCCACCGTCCCGGTCAATTGGGAGGTTTGGGGGGGAACCTGGGCCCGCCCTCTACTCTGGGTTCCAGCCCAGGGCCCTGTGGACTGCAGCTGTCTATAGTGCCTCCTGTAACAGCTGCATAATAGTCACAACTCCCTGGGCTACTTCCCCATGGCCTCCTCCAAACACCTTCCTTATTCTCACCACAGGACCTTCCTCCTGGTGTCTGATAACCCTTGTGCTCCTCAGTCCTCCAGCAGCGCACCCTCACCCTCTCAGCTCCTTGTGCCTCTTGCTCCCAGCTCCTCACACTCACACCACAAACTGAAGTGAGTTCCTTTTAAAACCCAGGTGCCCTGATTAGCCTGCCTTAATTGATTCTAGCAGCTTGTTCTTAATTGGCTCCAGGTGTCCTAATTAGTCTGCCTGCCTTAACTGGTTCTAGCAGGTTCCTGATTACTCCAGTGCAGCCCCTGCTCTGGTCACTCAGGGAACAGAAAACTACTCATCCAGTGACCAGTATATTTGCCCTCTACCAGACTCCTGTATCCCACTGGTCTGGGTCTTTCACAATACCAATGTGATGCTCTTGAAAACCTATCACAGTGTACAGTAACAAACAAGCATTCACAAACTTCACAGTGAATTTTATGAAGCTAATTTTTAGATTACTATATTTGCATTCAATTTATTTTATGCTGGTTTTGCAGACATTTCAACACCTCCATCCCACTGATTTAGAAGGAGAGAGCAAATTAGAAATAAGCAAAACACATGTATTGTAGCAATTTTATTCCAACTTCCAAATTAAAATGTGGCCTAACAAAGATCATTTAGTAATACATTTTAACCTATTTCATAATTTTTTCTAGATGCTATTTATGAATATCATGTCATTCATAATCCTGTTTCAGAACTGAAATGTCAACCTCATCAGGTGACATTTGGGCAAAAACTGATGCACTTCTTTCCCATGACCTTTCTTCAAGTGTTAGCACTTCCCATCTCCTTCTAAAATCTAATTTGTGCTGGGATGGGGCTGCATATCTGCAAGCCTTTCTGCAAGGCCTTGGTCCTGCAACTTCCACATTTCATTTTCAGGTGCACAGCATTAGTGCACTAAAAGCTTGAAAGCAGCATTTCTGGGGCTTAGCTGGAAGGGTTTCTGAACTGGAACCTCAAACAAAAGAAATCTGTGAATAAAGGAGTGGGCTTAAGAGTCACAGAAAAGGCTGTGGGAAGTCACAGGAAAGAAGAGACTGGTGACCTCTTGGGAGCAAGAGAGTTTGAAGGGATCAAGTCCAGGGGAAGAATTGTGAAAATCTGCCCCCCTAGTAAACAGGGAGTGTGCTGTATCAGAAAAAGTTCAGCTGGCTTAGTATGCCCATAACAGGATATTTCAGAGATCTGGATACCTGACACCAGTGAAGAGAAAATATGTGATTGCGCAGTATAAAGTTTTTACTATAATTGTCACTTGTTTGATGAGACCTGTATAATTCACATCTAGTTCTGCCTTTTGTGAGTAATGCAGTCATCCCAAACTTATTCCAATAACCATTTTCTATCAATCCATTTCAATTTTGGGATGATTGCATTACTCACGAATGGTGGACATACCTGATTTTTCCATAATATCAAGGGGAACCAGGAAAGTGGTGACATTAAAGGATTGGACAGAAATTGAATGGTAACTCATTTAAAAGTTACCTTATGAATGGAGAAAGTTCTATCTCTTGTGAAAGGCCAGTTTGGGTGAAACACTAGTGTTTGTAAGCATCTTGATTAAAAGTTTTTCTTAAAATGAATTCTGAATCCTTCAGTGAGGTTGTTAGAAAACAAAATAATTTTTCTGGATAAAGTGCAATAAGATGGTATTTTTACTCTGTTGGATATGAACCATATTATAAATAATGTTTTGATTAAATGGTATATGTCTACATATTTACTAGTATTAAAATTATATGACCATTTTAACAGGTTCTCATTACAGCTCTTTGTGAAAATCATTCCACACTTTTTCACCAGCTCTATCCTCATCTAGGTATTACCTTTCCACACAGTCTGACAGTCTGGATGTCAAGTTTGATGCTGGAGCATCATGCCCACCAATAGCATACAGGAACCCATTCCAAGTAGTTACTCCCACACCTCCTCTTCTCTTTGACATTTGAGCACAGAGAGTCCATTTATTAGTATGAGGATCAAAACATTCCACAGATTTGAGACAAGAACTTCCATCCCGACCACCAACTGCATAAAGTCTGTAAAGAAAAGAAACCAACTGAACTCATAAAATAAATAAACCTCTACCCCGATATAACGCGACCCGATATAACACAAATTTGGATACAACGCGGTAAAGCAGCGCTCCTGGGGGGGGCGGGGCTGCGCACTCCGGCGGATCAAAGCAAATTCAATATGACACGGTTTCACCTATAACGCGGTAAGATTTTTTGGCTCCCGAGGACAGTGTTATATCGGGGTAGAGGTGTATTACAGTAATAGTATTTCCTCATTTATAGATACATTTTTACACATGGTTATTCAGGAAAATAAAATTAGCTAGAATGAATTTGAAGGGGTGGAGAAAAATATAACAGAGAAATAGATAACGATCTGGGGATTGGGAAGATAGCTTTTTTTTCAAATGGTATCGTTGAAATAATGATTATTAGATATTTTTAATAATATTCAATTTATCTGACCCACTTTTCACTGTCTAGCCTTCATGATTGTTTTTTGTCTTTTGTCCTGCATGTTGTTATGATCCTAAGATTTTTTATAACATTTATTTTTTCAATCTTTATAGAAAAAGCCAATTTTAACTGGTCCTAAGCTAAAAAAAAGTTTACCCCTGTTCCAAATAGCAGAATAATGATATCAGTAAGAATTGCATAACAATGTTTTTTTCAAACTTTTCAAATGCAAAGGATGTAAGCTTCATGTGACAGTTGATCGTGGCTGAGGAATCTCTCAAATTTGTTAAGAAAAAAGTTCGAAGGTCTTGAAATTTCAGTGGAAGGCTCTACAACTAGGACTCAGGCCTGGTCTACACTACGAGGTTAGGTCGACTTTAGCCGCGTTAAATCGACTTAAGTCTGGACACGTTTACACTACGAAGCCCTTTCTTTCGACTTAAAGGGCCCTTTAAACCGGTTTCTTAACACCACCTCGACGAGGGGATTAGCGATAAAATTGGCCTTAGGGGGTCGGAATTGGGTTAGTGTGGACGGAATTCGACATTATTGGCCTCCGGAAGCTATCCCACAGTGCTTCATTGTGACCGCTCTGGACAGCACTCTCAACTCAGATGCACTGGCCAGGTAGACAGGAAAAGCCCCGCGAACGTTTGAATTTCATTTCCTGTTTGCTCAGGGTGGAGAGCACAGGTGACCATGCAGAGCTCATCAGCACAGGTAACCGTGATGGAGTCCCAGTCCCAGTCCCAGGATCGCAGAAGAGCTCCAGCCTGGACCGAACGGGAGGTACGGGATCTGATCGCCATCTGGGGAGATGAATCAGTGCTCGCCGAACTCCGAAGCAGTAAAAGAAATGGCAAAACATTAGAAAAGATCTCCAAGGCCATGAAGGACAGAGGCCATAACAGGGACGCACAGCAGTGCCGCGTGAAAATTAAGGAGCTAAGGCAAGCCTACCACAAAGCCAGAGACGCAAACGGAAGGTCCGGGGCTGAGCCGCAAACATGCCGCTACTACGCGGAGCTGCATGCCATTCTAGGGGGTGCAGCCACCACTAGCCCAAGCGTGTGCTATGAGTCCCTCGCTGGAAACAGGGAAGCGGGTTCGGCGGACGAGGAAGATGAGGATGGAGAGAACATAGATAGCTCACAGCAGCAAGGAAGCGGAGAAACCAGTTACCCCAACAGCCAGGATATGTTTGTCACCCTGGACCTGGAACAAGTAACCCCCGAACTCACCCAAGACCCTGAGGGCACACAGGGGACCTCTGGTGAGTGTACCTTTGTAAATATTACACATGGTTTAAAAACAAGCGTGTTTAATGATTAATGATTAATTTGCCCTGGCAATCGCGGCCAGTACAGCTACTGGAAAAGTCTGTTAACGTGTATGGGGATGGAGCGGAAATCCTCCAGGGACATCTCCAGAAAGCTCTCCTTCATGTACTCCCAAAGCCTTTGCAAAAGGTTTCTGGGGAGGGCTGCCTTATCCCGTCCACCATAGTAGGACACTTTACCACGCCAGGCCAGTAGCACGTAGTCTGGAATCATTGCATAACAAAGCATGGCAGCGTATGGTCCCGGTGTTTGCTGGCATGCAGACAACATCCATTCCTTATCGCTCTTTGTTATCCTCAGGAGAGTGATATCATTCACGGTCACCTGGTTGAAATGGCGCAATTTTATTAAGGGGACATTCAGAGGTGCCCCTTCCTGCTCTGCTGAACAGAAATATTCCCCGCTGTTAACCACGCGGTGGGGGGGAGGGGTGAAGTGACCATCCCAGAGAATTGGGCGTGTGGGGGAGGGGAGTTAGTTGGGTTTGTGCTGCATGTTAAACCTGAAACCGCAGCCCCTCCTTTTACATTGCAAACCCATTTTAAATGGCCAACCCAATGGGTGCTTGGTATGGTTAATGAGAGCAGTACTGTTTTAAAGCATCCCCACTTGTTAACAAGGTTAAAAAAGCCAAAAGACTGTGTCTTACCATGGCTGTCTGCAAGCTGAAATCTGTGGCCTGGCACTGCGTGAGTGATCTCTCACACCAAACCGGCAGGCCCTCAATATAAGAGGAAAAATGCGACCTTGTAACGAAAGCACATGTGCTGTGTGATGTGAACAGCAAAATCTAACGTGAAAGAGTGTACCCATTGTTCTCTAAAATGTATCTTTTTTAAACAACTCTCCTTTCTCCTCCACCAGCTGCAAATGTTGCATCTTCACAGAGGCTAGTGAATATTCGAAGAAGGAAGCGAAGGACACGTGACGAAATGTTCACTGAACTACAGACTGCCTCCCACGCTGACAGAGCACAGCAGAATGCGTGGAGGCAGTCAATGACTGATTTTAAAAAAGCCCAATATGAGCGAGAGGAGAGGTGGCGTGCTGAATCGCGGGCTGAAGAGGAGAAGTTGCGTGCTCAAGAGGAGAAGTTGCGTGCTGAAACGCGGGCTGAAGATGAGAGGTGGCGTCAACTTGTACTCAGAAAGCAAGAGTCGATGCTCCGGCTGCTGGAGCATCAAAGTGATATGCTCCTGCGTATGGTTGAGCTGCAGGAAAGGCAGCAGGAGCAGAGACCGCTGCTACAGCCCCTCTGTAACCAACAGCCCTCCTCCCCAAGTCCCATTGCCTCCTCACCCAGACGCCCAAGAACACGGTGGGGGGGCCTCCGGCCACCCAATCACTCCAGCCTAGATGATTTCCAGTGCAATAAGTTTTAAAGTTTTAAAGTGCACTGTGTCCTTTTCCTTCCCTCCTCCCCCACCCATCCAGGCCTACCTTTGCAATTATCCCCCTAGTTGTGTGCTGAATTAATAAAGAATGTGAAGTAACAATGACTTTATTGCCTCTGCAAGTGGTGCTCGAAGGGGGGAGGGTAGTAGGGGAGGGTGGGGTTGTTGGTTTACAGGGAAGTATAGAGTTAACTGGGTGGGGGGGTGTAGGGGCGGAGGGTTCATCAAGGAGAAACAAACAGAAGTTTCACTCCGTAGCCTGGCCAGTCACAAAACTGGTTTTCAACGCTTCTCTGATGCGCACCGCGCCCTGCTGTGCTCCTCTAACCGCCCTGGTGTCTGGCTGCGCGTAATCAGCGGCCAGGCGATTTGCCTCAACCTCCCACCCCGCCATAAATGTCTCCCCCTTACTTTCACAGATATTGTGGAGCGCACAGCAAGCAGCAATAACAATGGGGATATTCTTTTCGCTAAGGTCTGAGCGAGTCAGTAAGCTGCGCCAGCGCGCTTTTAAACGCCCAAATGCACATTCCACCACCATTCGGCACTTGCTCAGCCTGTAGTTGAACAGGTCCTGACTCCTGTCCAGGCTGCCTGTGTACGGCTTCATGAGCCATGGCATTAAGGGGTAGGCTGGGTCCCCAAGGATAACGATAGGCATTTCAACATCCCCAATGGTTATTTTCTGGTCCGGGAAGAAAGTCCCTTCCTCCAGCTTTCGAAACAGAAGAGAGTGCCTGAAGACGCGAGCATCATGTACCCTTCCCGGCCAGCCCACGTTGATGTCGGTGAAACGTCCCTTGTGATCCACCAGGGCTTGCAGCAGCATTGAAAAGTACCCCTTGCGGTTTATGTACTCGGTGGCTTGGTGCGCCGGTGCCAAGATAGGGATATGGGTTCCGTCTATCGCCCCACCACAGTTTGGGAATCCCATTGCAGCAAAGCCATCCACTATGTCCTGCACGTTTCCCAGAGTCACTACCCTTGATATCACCAGGTCTCTCATTGCCCTGGCAACTTGGATCACAGCAGCCCCCACAGTAGATTTGCCCACTCCAAATTGATTCCCAACTGACCGGTAGCTGTCTGGCGTTGCAAGCTTCCACAGGGCTATCGCCACTCGCTTCTCCACTGTGAGGGCTGCTCTCATCCTGGTATTCTGGCGCTTCAGGGCAGGGGAAAGCAAGTCACAAAGTTCCATGAAAGTGCCCTTACGCATGCGAAAGTTTCGCAGCCACTGGGCATCGTCCCAGACCTGCAACACGATGCGGTCCCACCAGTCTGTGCTTGTTTCCCGGGCCCAGAATTGGCGGTCCACGGCATGAACCTGCCCCAGTAACACCATGATTTCCACATTGCTGGGGCCTGTGCCTTGTGAGAGGTCCATGTCAATTTCCTCATCACTATCGTCGCCGCGCTGCAATCGCCTCCTCCTCAGCTGGTCCTGGTTTTGCTTTGGCATGTCCAGGAGGCTCTGCATATACTCCAGGACAATGCGCGTGGTGTTCATAGTGCTCATAATTGCCGCAGTGATCTGAGCGGGATCCATGATCCCAGTGATAGCTATGGTGTCTGGTCTGAAAAAAGGCGCGAAACTAGTATCTAAAGACCAGGGGAAGAAGGGAGGGAGGGAGGGAGGGGCGAGTGACGACATGGCGTACAGGTACAGGGAATTAAAATCAAGAAAGGTGGCTGTGCATCAGGGAGAAATACAAACAACTGTCACACAGAATGTCCCCCCCAGAGATTGAACTCCTAAGCCTGGGTTTAGCGGGCCGTTGATTTGACGGAGGGAGGGGGGAAGGAAATGAATACAGAACAAATCTATTTT